TCAGGAGGCAGCAAGAGGAGGAGGAGAGGCGGAGGAAACAAGAGGAGGAAGAGAGGTGGAGGAGACAAGCGGAAGAGGAGAGGAGGAAGAGAAAAGAGGAAGAGGAGAGGCGGAGAAGACAGGAGGAGGAGAGGAGAGCCCAGCTGCAGAGAGAGGAGCAGGAGCGCAGCAAAACTAAGGAACAGCACGCTATGGAGAACCTGGAGAAGCTGTTGAGAGTGAGCCCCCCTCAGGCCCCTCCACCACCGCCCCTGTCCACCGTCCCGCCCGCTCCGTGGCTGGGCAGCTCAGAGCGGCTGTGCCCGCCTCCTCTCACCCCTCAGACGGAGTATGCCCGGGAGAAGCAGAGGCAGAGAGCCATGTGGAACAGCAGCAGTACACTCTACCCTCCATCCACACACAGTACCTCACACCCCCACAAGCCCCCGGCCATGCAGCCTGCTCCAGGACAAGCCAAAGACTCAGCCTCTGCCATGGCACTTAGAGATCCTCCCAAACTCTACCAAGCCCCTCCACCACCGCCCCTCTCAGGCCCCGTGCACAAGGCCAGAGCCAGTGACTGTAAGAGCTCCACTCAGTTTGAAGAGGAGCCTTCAGAGATGTCCACTCTCCTGCCAGACGGCCTGGCCAACATCATGGCCATGCTGGATGAGTCCATTCAGAAGGAGGAAGAGATGTTCCAGAATGGAAAGAGCCTGGAGGACTTCTCCCCAGCTGTGCAGCCTATGAAAGGATACCCATGTGCTCCAGACCTGCTCCCAGTGCCAAAGCACCAGGCCAATCAAGAAGACGGGAGCTCCAACGCCCACGCCAGCCCCCCCGTGCTCAGCCGCCAGGGCTCCCTGGCCTCTCCCTGCAGCCGTACTTCATCTCTGAACGAAGAGGAGGAGGACTACAAACATCAGAGAGTCATCTCCAGGGCTCATGATGCTGGAGCGGGGAACACAGACTACCGCCACAGTGACCTGGCCAAGCTCTATGGGCTCCCCGAAGTGAAGAGTGAGGCAGATGAAGAAGAGGAAGAGGAGGACTCGCCTTCCTGCTCCCCTCCACGCCAGAGACCACACCTCCACCAGACCGGGGTCAACAGCATGTTCAAGTCTCTGGCCACAGTTCTGGAAAGCCAGAAGTACACGTACAGGGGAGGTCCGTTTGGCAGGCCCCCTCCCTCAGCGCTGCTTGGGCTCAAGTACTCGTCCTCACTGTCCCTGGGCCCAGACATCTGCCGCCAGCAGCAGGGCACCTCCCCAGCATCTGACTCCTCCAACCCCCCTCCCAGCCCCACTGCCCCACCTGAGTCCTGCTCCCCCCGATCCAAGAACACTCCTGCACAGGACCAGTCCAAAGCACACGAGCCTATCAAACCCATCCGCCTGATCAAAGAGGAGCAGAGGTTCACCGCCGTGTCCCAGTCTTCTCTGTCCGAGCTGGGAAAGAGCTGCGAGGTCTTGCTCAGCCGCCAAAAGCATGACGGCTACGAGAGGACGGAGAGACACCGCAGTGAGCACAGGGACAGGGAGAGGAAGAGGGACAAGGAGAAGAGGAAGAAACACGGACGCAGCAAGCACCAGGACAGGAGTGAGAGCAGGAGACACAGAGGAGATCCAGATGCTTCTTCAGCCTCCTCCTCTCACTCAAGCTCCAGCCACAGGAAACACAGCAAGAGCCACAAGGACCGAAAGGAACGGCGAGTCCTGGGTGACCTCAATACTCAGAGCAAAAGCGAGAAGATGGCAGAAATGTTTGAGAAGAATCACAAAGAGTCTACCAGCAGTAGCTCCAGCAGCGAGGAGCACCACACAGGTTCTGAGGTGGCCCCCGTAGGCTCCAATGATCTTCTGAAGCTGAAGGCGCTGTCCGATGGCCCGCCCAAAGAGCTGAAGATCCGCCTGATCAAAGTGGAGAGTGGAGACCGTGAGACGTTCATCGCCTCAGAGGTGGAGGAGAAAAGGATCCCTCTGAAGGACATCAGCATCAAGAACACAGCCAGTGAGATCATTCGCTCCTGCAAGTATGTAAAGCTTCAAAACTATTATAAGTTGACATGAATACTGGATTGTTTTGACCTGTGTTAATTTAATTTTGATTGTATTTAGAGATCGACTGATACTTAATGACCAATGTTTAATTTACTACAAACTTACCAATAGCCATTTTGTTATCAAAAACCTTTAAGAGAGCTGTGTAGTCATGCTTTGTGCAGATTTCTCTTTGCATTCAAGTGTTGAAAGAAAGCTTTGTGTGTACTTTGTTTGCTATTCAAAATTACTGAGATCAGGAGTAAGCTTTTGTGTTCGCTGCAGCCACTCTATGATCCGGACAGTTGACCCAGCAGATTGGGTTAAATGCAGTTAAATGAGGACAAATTGCAGATAATTTAAGACAGATAATTTACTTTAAAAGACTTACCAATACAGAAATACGAAAAAACTCAAAGTGAAATTGCATGCATTCACCTCTTGTATAATTGCCACTCACGACAATCCCTTCTGTGTGTTTTGCAGAGGTGCCAAAATCAAAGGGAAGTTTAAGGAATCATACCTGCTCCCGGCCTTCTCCATCAAACCCAACATGACCGCAGACGGACCCATCCCACGAGAGAGGCTCAACCCCCCCACGCCCAGCATCTATGTACGGCACTCTGTAACAGGCATTAGAAAAAGCACAACAGCTATCAGGAGCTTTTGTAGTGTGAGAAATGTCCAATAGGGAAATTCACATCAAAATAACTGTATCTATTTCTAATCTTATTGACAACCACAACAACACTGGCCCTTAATGGTTCACAGAGGATTAAACATTTCCAGTTCCATTGTGATTTCAAGATTTGCTTTTCAATATATCTGTAATTAGGGCTGACGCAAAACTACTTTTACTTTATTACATGAAAAACTCATTTATAGACTCTAACACAACATCAGACAGGGAGGGGTATAGGAGGACGGAAGGGCATCTGACACACAGGGATTTGAGGATGGGGGAATCGTCTCACAGGTATACAGGAGGATATATCGTGATTTTAACGTATTGTGTTTCTGTTCCAGTTGGAGAGTAAAAGGGACGCCTTCTCCCCCGTGCTGCTGCAGTTCTGCACAGACCCCAAGAACCCAGTGACGGTGATCAGAGGCTTAGCCGGGTCCCTGCGCCTCAGTAAGATCATTTATATGCTCATTTTGAAATCAGGCAGGTTGAGAGATGATTACATGTCTATTAAGTCTTATTTTGGCCCATTTAATTCTTGTTCAGACTTGGCTGAGCCTTGGCATAATCTGTTAAGTCATGGTTTAGTCTTAATTTAGACCTGGCTCAGTCCTGCCTTTAGGGCTCCAACTCACAATGATTAGTGATATAATGTCATAATAATTATAACAAATGTGCTAATCAATCAATTAAATCAAAAAAACACTAAATCTACATGGTATTCCTACTTAATCGCAGGACATGGCATGTTTTGAAGGAGTTAATGTAAAGTCCAGAAAATATTAATGGATCTGAAATAATAACTGGATAAGACACTCTCCCTCTGTCCACGAGCGAGATCGATTAGTTGCTGCTCCATAGGTACTGCAGCTCAAGCTTTGCAACATAAGGCCAATATTCAGGAAATAATGCAGAAGTAAAAATCTTTTTAGGCATGATGCATCAATGAGAGCTTCACCTTCCAGATTTTATTATAGTTCTATGATATTATTCTGTTACTAAATTATTAGTCGGATCATTTCAGTGTTTGATTAGTTGTGACTAGTTTGACCTTACCTGACCTTCCTTGGTTAGCACATTTATTTTCATTCATTTTTGTCTTTGTCCTGAACTTATTTTCAGTCCTTTTGTTCTGGTTTTAGGTTTCATTTTATCTAGATCATGTAATCACTAGATAGTAAATATGTTAAAGATACTTGGGGACTTTTGTCTCACAGGGTTCTAAATCTGTCTATCCCCCTGTGTGCTCTTCAGACCTGGGCCTGTTCTCCACTAAGTCCCTGGTGGATGCAAACTCAGACCAGTCTGTGGAGGTGAGGACGCAGGTGCAGCAGCCCGCTGACGAGAACTGGGACCCCAGCGGCACCAAGCAGACGTGGCCCTGTGAGAGCAGCCGCTCCCACACCACCATCGCCAAGTACGCCCAGTACCAGGCCTCCAGCTTCCAGGAGAGTCTGCAGGTGAGGGACATGCAACACCCCAAACTGCACTTACAAGCCTACACCTGCAGGGGGAGTTCATGACTTGATGCAGAAAGAAGTACTTTGAAACTGTGTATATGAAAGTGATTTGGAAGTGAATCTGGAGTTTAATCTGCAGCTAACTCACTACATGCCTCACTGTTGCTATCCCATATAAATCCTGAAAATCTATACAAAATAATCAGTCGACTAATAAAAATGTGTTGAATAAGACACCACTGACCAATTGACGAGACTATAGCACATTTAATTTCAAATGATTAAAAAACAGATGACTAATTAAATGGATAAACCTAATTAAATTATAGAGACATTAACAAGTAGCACTTATGTATATAGTAAGATCACAAACTTTGTCTCCTGTTGACTTCATTTGGTGGACACAAACAGTACTAGAAGATACACCAATACCTGCTTACTGAAATTGTACGTCTCCATGTTAGATTCTGTTCAAAATGTTTAGAAATGCAATCAGTCCCATACCACTTCTGCTCTTTGTGGCCATGTAAACCTAAGCACAGAGGCTGACAGGTGCTCTGTTCCAGGAGGAGAAGAGCAGTTCTGATGAAGAAGAGGAAGAGGAGAAGGAAAAGGAGAAGAAACCCTGTGCTGAAACTCTGAAGGAGAGCCCCAAGGACAGCACCAAGGAGAGCACCAGGTATGAACACAATCTGCTGCGGTTGCTATGACAGTTGTTTGTAATTTCACTGGTTATTAAAAAGGTGTAACACTTGAAACCAACAGACAGAATATTTCAAGTAGAAGAAAAACTAGATGTATAAAAAGTAGCCTGTTAAAATGGTTTATTCATGTTAATTAATACATATATTAATTATATAAATAAGCTTTTGCTTCTTAGTTCTTGTTTCAGTTTTCTTGTTTTTGTTTTATCTCAGCAATGAACAGAAACCACCAGGAAAGATTATCAAATTTGGGACCAACATTGATCTGTCAGACCCCAAGAGGTGAGTGTCTGGGTGTAATGTCTCGGGTTGTACTAGGCTCATTACAGTAACTGAGTGTGTTAGTTACTTCTCTACCATCTTGTACTCTCGTGAGTTGTAAGTGAGTTTGGTGTTGTTTAGATGGAAGGCCCAGCTACAAGAGCTGCAGAAGCTGCCAGCCTTCATGAGAGTCGCCTCCAGTGGGAACATGCTGAGTCATGTGGGACACACCATCCTGGGCATGAACACAGTGCAGCTGTACATGAAGGTCCCAGGGAGTCGCACCCCAGGTCAGTACAGAACACACCTGCTGTAGACCTCATTACACCTGCTGCAGTTCTTGTGTAGTCTGACTTTAGTCCTGGTTTCACTGGGGTTCAGTTTCGTTCATTGCTCCAACCATGTGCTCCACAGGTCACCAGGAGAACAATAACTTCTGCTCAGTGAACATAAACATCGGCCCCGGGGACTGTGAGTGGTTCTCAGTGCACGAGCACTACTGGCAGGCCATCAGCGACTTCTGTGAAAAGTCAGTACCTCAGTTTGACTTTTGATTACCACTGCTTCTACCTTACATTGAAATGAGATCATGTGCTCAAGGCCTGTATCAGTTTATAGTTTAGTGCCACAGTATTTGCCCACTTTATGTGCTCATCCTAAACTTTTAAGTACTGAAAACATTATAAAAGCACAATACAGTTGAAGCAGTCTAAACAGGAGTGACAGGATTTCTAATTGTCTGATGCTGTTGCAGGCACGGTGTGGACTACCTGACCGGCTCATGGTGGCCTGTGCTCCAGGATTTGTATGCGGCAAACATCCCTGTGTACCGCTTCATCCAGCGTCCCGGTGATCTGGTGTGGATCAACGCGGGCACGGTGCACTGGGTTCAAGCTGTGGGCTGGTGCAACAACATCGCCTGGAATGTGGGCCCTCTGCACGGTACTACTCTGTTCTAAACACCTGTTAAACACAGTATATACAGGCAGTGGTCAGAGAAATACTTGTTTCTCAATTTAGTTACATAGTTCAATTAGGGTATTTCCTGAATGTTTGAAATACATTTTATTAAAGAGGAGAAACCGGATTGTAACAGCCTTGTTTGGCGCACGGTTTATTCTCTAGTCAGTGAGAAATGTGCTGTTTGCACTCACATATGTACTCACAAGAGCAGTTTTAAAATGTTTAAATCAATTGTGCAATTGAAGCCTAAATTACATGAAGCTACATTACATTGAGTTTTGGAGATGTAGACAGACAACTCCTGGTATGTTTTTTAGAATGTAACATTATTAGCATACAAGAATACATTTTGCATAATATAGGATTTTGAAATAGTTTAGGTCCATCTAACCCTGGTCTGTGTGCATGTGTAGGATACCAGTACCAGCTGGCTCTGGAGAGGTTTGAGTGGAACGAAGTAAAGAAGGTCAAATCTATCGTCCCCATGATCCACGTGTCCTGGAACGTGGCCCGTAGCCTCAAGATCACAGACCCCGACACCTACAAGATGATCAAGTAAGGCTCTCCTGTACACTACCTCTAGTCCTCCTCACTGCCTGTCTGACACCTGTCCTTCCCAAGCACCTGTCTGACACCTGTCCTCTGTGCACAGACACTGCCTGCTGCAGTCCATGAAGCACATTCAGATCTTGAGGGACCAGCTGGTGGCCGAGGGGAAGAAGATCTCGTATCAGAGTCGTGTGAAGGATGAGCCAGCCTACTACTGCAACGAGTGTGATGTGAGTATCTGCTGTGCACTGGGCTGGCTTCAACACATGTCTATATGGGCCTACGTTGTACAGGAAACTACAACTCTGACAAAATTGAGTCATGTTGTCTTGTGGACTTGTGTCCCATCTCTAACAGCACATCTGTGTGTGTGTATTTCAGGTGGAGGTGTTTAACTTGCTGTTTGTAACCAGTGAGAACAGCAGTAGGAAGACGTACATGGTGCACTGTGAGGACTGCGCCAGGCTCATGAGCCCGGGCTTGGGCTCTGTGGTGGTGCTGGAGCAGTATCGTATGGAGGAGCTCATGGCCGCCTATGACGCCTTCAGCCTGGTGAGGACACACACTCTGCAGGGAGGGCTACAGGGACACACACTGGGGTTAGACATTTTTACAAACATGGAAAACAAAACTAATACTAATCACTTTCACAACACTTTCATGGCAGTGAGTTTCTAAGTGTGTTTCACAACTTTTAGAGGCCAGAGTGGAATTTTGCTGTCACCGTAAAGCTAACAACTAGCATGCTAAGTACAATGTACTTCCTGGTTCACAAACAAAGTGATTTCTGAGCTTGACACGCAGTGAGCAAAAAAACAGCAACACTTCACTTCAGGGTTAGGTTTAAAAGTGTGTGCCAGCTGTTAGGACCCAGCTCATTGGGGTCAGGGAAGTAACAAAAATAACCAAGATGTAAAATGGAATAAATTAAATAATGTTTAATCAACAGGGATGTAAAAGGTAAATTAACAAAACAGACAAAAATATATACAGAAAATTACCTAAACTAAGAAACAAAACAGAATTAACAAATAATGAGTTTTGGGCCACAAAAATGGGTCGCACAGGCTTACGTAAAAATGACTGATTAAACTATGGGACACACACACAAACTAAAGCACAAGTGTCCCAAAGTAAACCACATAAACCCACAAACAGAATCGAGTGACCAAATTTTAAAAAGCACAAAACAGATCTCAACTAAGGTGTCTCAAAACAAAAACCAAGTCAGACACATACTAGTATAAAATATACTAGTGTGACTGACACGAAAGAGACACACACAAACACAAAATGGCAGACTGACCATCAAGACCAATGCCCCACTCAAACAGGTGCTGGCAATCTCTTTAAATAGGGGGAGGGGGCTGGAGGTGAGGATGGATTGGCCAGGTGTAGATGTGCCTCACCAATCACGGGCCAGGGCTCCCACAGCAGGATTCAGAACAGCCAGCAACATAATTTAAAACACACCAAACAAATTACAACTGAAGACCTGGGCCATAACACCAGCCCATTATGTGTAAATACAGACAGCACATAGTGGAGCTTCTACGATATATCTGTAATATCACATCTGACTTCTGTTCATGAAAACCATGTACAGCTCCTTTGAACAATATAGGACAGACTTAATCACTTCAATGTAATTGCTATGCAAGTTTAGCATTTGTAGTAATGTCTAAAATTAGGTGAAGGACAAAACACTTGTTCAACTGTAAAATAGCCCTTTTCATTCTGAAATTTCAAATGTACTAACCTTCGATCAGTTTTGAGTCTAACTTGTGTCTGTGCTTATCTCCGCAGGCTGCCCCCTCCAGGTGACCACGCCTCACTGCACCTCTCTGCCAAAACCAAAACACACCCACGGTTTGAATACTACTCTCCGGTCAGACATTGTGCTAATCATTACTGTTTACAAGACATTACCACGTCACCATCTCATCCAGGTTACCCCAGAATGGTGCTCAGACCTCCAGCCAGCCGCAGATCAAACCAGGACTGGACTCATTTCTACCCATGTTGTTTTTTCTAATTCTGAGGTGCTGTTTTGTAATTTATTGAGTTTTTTATGATAGATTAGCTTAGATATATACCACATTGGCCTTGTAACGTCTATTTATGAGAGAGAAAAAGGAAAAATACTACTAGAGTTATGAACCTTTTTAACGCATTAAGACTTTTTTGAACAATTTGGATTTCTTCAGAACATACGGGTTGGCGCGACTGCTTTTCTGTGTTGTAAATGTTTTTTATAAATGTTATTTTTTGTCTTGAATGCTCTCCTGGTGTTACCTTGGAGCTGTTCCTCTTTTGTACATTTTTATTTAAATGTTTCTTCTATTTATTGGAAATACCATGATTTTGTTCTAGGGTTTGTGAGTTCTCGTATTGGTCGGTGAAAGGGGCTGCTGATTTTTTGTTTTTTTTTTGGTGCTGGCCTCTCCACTCCTGCCTTTTCTCTAAATATATATATGAATCTTTATCTTGAATATTAATGCCACCTTTCCTGTAGACTATAGGCACACTGCTAACATAGACTGAGGAATGCTGTTGTATGCTTATGAAAGACTTCACTTTTTTCCAAAGGGTTACTTGTAATTTTCTATGATGTAGGGGGCTTTTAGGTGAAATTGTAAGATTTTTTGTTGATAACAGATTTCATGGTGCTAAACGTTTTTGTTTTTTACTTTGTTTTTGTTCTCATTGAAATAAGAATTCTATTTTCTATTTTTCCTGCTGCAATATCCCCTTTCCTTTGTGTGCTTATTATTTATAGCTGCACTGTTGGAGATTCCACATGGACACCACACACCAAACTGAGCCAGACATGTCTTAAACACTTGTGAAATTGTGTGATTCTTAATAAACGCTCTTTGACAGTGATCCGTTTGTTCACATTGACCTCTCACTTCTTTAATTTAGACATGCTTTATTGATTCACAAGGGAAATTATGTGGACATAATAGCTCACACATCACAATATAGTGTAATAAACAGAAAAAATATTTAGAATTTATTATTACCATTTATAAGTAGCAAAAATAGCGACTTATGTACATACTCTATACTTAAGCCTTATTTGACACAAGAATATAGAACTATGGTAATATAAATACAGCATATCACAGTTAGTATACAAGAGGTCGTAAGAACAGTGCAGAGATTAAATAATTGACAGGATATAGGGTTACCTGTTACATAAGTTGTACAGTTGTTTTCATGAAGGCCAGACTGAGGATGGAAGGGCATTGCCTGGTTTATCATAAGGATTAATAAATGCTTTTAGTTATCTGAAAGTTTTAATGTTCTATTAGTTTAGAATCCACAAAAACCGATGGCTAATACGCTCTGCTGATATTTTTTCGGTGCACTGAGGCAAGTTTAGTTTATTATCAAACTGTTTCATTTAAAGGGCCTACACTGCACTATTTACCATCTCCTCATCAAGAACATACATTTCATTCACATGTTTGAGTAAGTAGTCCTTTATTATTACTCTTTCTACATCTCCAGGTCTCAAAATGCTGAGTTTCACCTTGTGATATCATCAAGTGTTACCTTCTGAGTAGAGATTGCCATAGAAAGTCTATGTCATCTGCTGGTGCAAAGAAAGGTTAAAAAGGCTAAAACAGTAAATGTAATTTCAAAGTTTGGCAGTTCCAAGGCTGAAATAATAATAATCATAATCACAATCATACATCAGCCTTATAAAGTGCTTTTTTGGACACTCAAAGATGCTTAATAAACAGATGGGGAGCAACAAGGGGGGGAAAGACTGTAGGGGCGAAATCATGGGGCAAATGCCAGATTGAACAGGTAAGTTTTAATTCGAGGATTGTGGGAGTGAGTTCCAGAGCGAGGGGGCGGCGGCAGCAAAGGCTAGCTCCCCCGAGGTCCGGTGCTTTGTTTTGATGAAGGGATTGAGGAGGTTCTTGGGTCTGATGAAGGGAGTGAGGAGGTGCTTTGTCCTGATTGAGGGAGTGAGGAGGTGCTTAGTTCTGAGGGGAGTAAGGAGGTTGCTGTGGGCTGATCTAAGGCGGCGGGCAGGACAGCGCTGATGGAGAAGGTCGGGGTGAGGGGAAGAGGCCAGGTTACGGAGGGACTTGTAGGTGATGATGAGGACCTTGTATCGGATGTGGTATTGTACGGGGAGCCGGTGGAGTTTGAGGATGGGGCTGACGTGCTCTCCAAAGCGGGTGTGGGTGAGGCGGCGGCGGGAGGCAGAGTTCTGGATGTATTGCAGTTTTTGGAGCAAGGTGGAGGGTAGGCTAATGCAGTAGTTGAGTTTGGAAGTGATGAAGGCGGAGAGGCGGAGACAGACGATGCTGCAGAGATGGAAAAAACTTCACTAACAGACCTGAAAATGTAACAGTTATAGTTAAGACCAAACAGTGTTTATCATAAGTTGTCTAAAGCTCAAAATATTCATTCCATTATCACTGGCTTTTTTTGGATATGAGGGGCCTCAGACCAGCTTTTGCCTAGAGCCCCCATGGTGTCTTGAGACGGCTACACACAGCAGGTAGTCAAAAATCCAATCAGTTACTACAAAAACATTTGCAAGTAGATATTTTTTCCAAAGTGATTCAGCCTCAAGCACAATAAATATTTTTAATTAAACCTACAAAAAACTTGATTAACAATACATAAAGTTTGAAAATCAAGTTCTCCAGTTGAACCATTTTGCTTTCACCCTGAGTTTGAACACATACCAACGTGTCTAAGCTGCCCTCCCCCACACTACTCCAGTCTCCAAAGCACGACTTATCAGACCCTCCACCCCTGCTCCCCCTGCTTCGCCCCTCAGCCCTCCCCTCACCCCTCCACCAGGCCTGGGTCACAGAGGAGGAATGCACGAGATGGACTGTGGAGGAGGAGGAGGACCACGCGGGGCTGATAAGCGCTAGTGGGTGGAGAGACAAGTGATGGTTAAGGAGGGAGACAGTGCAACTAAAACTGGGGGGCAGGTCCACATAGCTCATCACAAAGCCTGGAAGAGAGCAACGGCACCACAAGCCTGAGCCAAAGTTTTCAGAAGTTCACTCCAACAACTCCAAACATCCCCAACACAGCGAGAACCTTCAAGAGCAGTCGGAGAAGTGTCCGAGAAGACACCCGCCTCGCCACCCTGGAGGGAGAGGAGCAACCCACGGAGCACCCAGCCGCTGTGAGTACCACGCACGGGCAGGGCACTCCTTCCTGGGGGAACAGAGGCGAAGAGTTGTGTAAGAAATGAATTGTTGCAGCTGCTTTGTTTGAGACAATAGGAATATGAGACAACTAGTCTGGCAGAACATGTGAGTGAGTGGACAACAGCATGCTCATGAAACAACAGAATAAAACCTAATGAAAACTACAAATGGTCCAATTTTTTAGCCAATAACTAAATGTCCCTGTGTGTCAGGTGCCCTCCCTGTGCCTCCCTGGGGTCTTATTTTGTGTAAAGGTTGCCGACCTCTGTTTGGAAATGTATGGGATTAGTTAGGGATGCACTGTTCCGATACTGATATCAGATAACAATAGTGGCATACTGAAAAATTTGCTGCATTAGATATCGGCTTCCAATTATCAGACATAAACTTCTAAGTAATAGTAAAAACCATTTACGGGCTATAGTAGGGCTGGGCGATATGGATCAAAAAATATATCTCGATATACGATATATATCTCGATATATGTTCAAGAAAAAATAGCCCCCTAAAACTGAAAACTGCAAAAACAAATCTGCCAAATTCCACAAGGTCTTTTTTTTATTGAAGTGTAAGAGGTCGGCAGTTCATATAGGAACATTTAAGATTACAAAAAACCTAATAACATAAATAATAATTTAACTGTAAAATAAAAGAAATAATACATATTTCCTTCTTTTCATTCATAAATAAAACAACTCAACACAAGCTCATCTTGCATTAACTCTGTTATCCAAACCAGAACCAGAACCATGAGCTCATTTAGCAGAAGCAGCTCAGGATGTTCCTTATTTCAATAGATCCATGTTATTATCCAGCAGTAAGGAGCTCTGAGGTTTAATCCCACAATCCACTGCAGATCAAACCCAACGTTTCCAAACACTGTTGTACAAGTGACACTGCAGCAGATTAATTAAAATCTTCTGCATAAATAAACTTTACATTATATAAAGCATAACGACTCTAGAGCCTCATCAGCCCGTTTGCGATAATAATGTGTTTAATGCAGTTTTGCGCACGTGTGTTTACATTTTACAGAAACAAAACTTAAGCGCATGGCTCATTTGCATAAACAGCGCACTTCTCATGCAGCTCAACTCGTTTAGCTTCTTTCGGGCTAAAGGACGTGACTCGGTGGAATATGAGGATGTGCTGCTGGTGGTTTTGTTTGTAAATGGTGGAAAAGGTTCGTGGTGCTTGAAGCTTTTCACTGGCACCAACTTTCGGCGTTCATGGCGATAGTAAGGAGTGAATGAGACACCAGCGAACAAAATCAGTGAGGCGGAGGCGACGAGAGAGAAGGTAAACAAGGGAAGCGGCGAAATCAGAATTGAATCTAAGCATTATATCGATATATACGATATGTCAGAATTCATATCGAGTTTAAAAACTATCTCGATATATTTAAAATATCGATATATCGCCCACCCCTAGGCTATAGTTGGTCGAGAAAGAAAATAATGTTTGGACTTTTATTTATATAAAGTTGTTCTGGTGTTAACTGACAGATAAATAACACCTCCATAACACATTTGGATCAGTTTTGTCTTATTTTTGGGAGGGGAATAAAGGCAGTCTTCACTTTCTGCACTGGTATCGGTTCATTATCGAGTGTTGGCAAAAAGCTATTGGATCGCTGGAAAAAGCTCAATGAGAAGTTTTGAACATTTTTTTGGCTATAAGGTAAAATTTTAAACTTAAATATTTGAATAAATCATTTCTATGACTCACTACAGATACAAACCAAGTACTTAAATTTTACATTCTATTAAATGTTTTTATTGCAGCTCATGTTTTTTAACAATAGAACACTTAGAATAGGTTTTTGGGGGTAATCCTAGTTTAGAATCAGTGCGTCAGTGTCATGAGTTTCAATATTATTCTTTGTCTATATTGTCTTCAACAATATATCGCACATCACAATTTGTAATCCCCCAGGCCTCACAACAATATTGGGGAATTTTCCGGTACTGGACAGATATCAATATTACAAAATCAGATACTTCAGATTTCACTGATAAGATAGCAAAATAGATCCAGTATTGTTACAAAATATGAACTGCAATAAATAAATAAGAGAGTGCAACACTTACATAGTCTCTATAACGAGTCTTATCGTAATACACAAATATTTTTCCCACTAGTGCAAGGAAAATGTATCCACAATAAATACTGAACCCCAAAAACTATTGTTCCATCTGTTATGTGTTTAAAGATATGTCAATTTATTGTGACTGGCCTATTCAGAACTATACAAGGGCTAAAATTCTGCATTTAGTGTAGCTGTGTAGTTTTTTTTTTTTCATTGATCAAAGTCGGGGTGAGAGGCGGTCAGGCGCAGAGGAACACCCAGATGTCTACAGTCAAAGCTCTGATGAGGAGCTTGGATCAGAAGGCTTCCTGTTGGACACATGCAGATGGTCATCTCACAGTTTCCTGACCGATAACACTGACCTCCACATAACCTGCAGATAAGACTCCTGTTTTGGAAAACATTTTGAAAATAATCTTGAAAAATAATGTCAGAAAAAATTGTCAGCAGGCTATGTGATGCAGAGTTCAACTGGTCAACAGGATGACGTCTCTGTAGTCTTTTAACTCAATGACTGGGGCAAAGCGGGTAATGTCGCATAGCAAGATGGTCTGTGGTTCAATTCCACAAAAGACCAATCCTCCACCTACATACTCACGACCATGACAAACTCAGGATCAAGAGATGGGCTGAAGTTATATGGGTCAAATACAGGCAGGTCAAATGAAGACTTAAGTGTCTTGGTCACTATAACCCTCCCCACATCTGTAACCATCTCTCTGTGTGCAGTTCATGATGAGTGTGAGCGGTACACTGGAGAAAGGAGCACATCACCAGGCAGTGGACCTGTCTGAGGAGCTGCCCCCCCACCATCACCACCACCCTCCCCCTCATCCCATGCACCCTGTGGGGGCAGACAGGGAGAGCCCGCGGGTGGTAGTGCCTCCCCCATACTCTGCAGCAGACAGCGGGGGGAGCGAGGGCCCACTGGAGCTCCGGGGCTCTCTAGACTGCTGGGCCTGCTCCGTGCTGGTCACGGCTCAGAACCTGCTCATCGCCGCCATCAACGCCTGCCTGGCTGCCCTGGTGTTCGGCTGCATCCTCACCCCTGCTGTGGTCATGGTGCTCTTCGGCTTCCTCTGCCACTCCACAGTAAGTACAGGCCTGACAGGGAGAGAGGGTGTCAGTATCAGTGAAGTTGACACAAAGAAGGAAACTGTCTTCTGAAGAGAGGTCCCAGAGTCTCTACAGAGTTAGCATGTGTGATAGAGAAGCCCTAATAGTTAAAAAACTTGGTTAAACTAACCAACTAACTAACTAGTGTAGCTAGGTTATAGATTATGTATTTTACATGCAAAATGGGCTCTTCCCACTCACACATTTCACCCATGACAACTTAGCAGAAAAAAGAATTGTCATCTTGGGCCCATCTCTAAAGAGAGCGGACCTGTGTGGTGTGGGAGGTCTGCCTCATGTGACCACTGCTCACACACGGATTATGTCCCACTGCTGAGGGAGCCTTCACCTCTGCTCCTGGACTTCAGATCTCTTCATCACGCTCAGGCTGAGCAGTGAGCAGTGAATTTTGCACTAAAGCTGATTTTCAAATGAGTAACATGAAGTTGTCTGCAGGATACTCCACTAAAGTGGTAAAAGAAACTAACGGAGCACCGTCACTGGTGCTACTGAGAGTCGCTGAAAACATCAAAGTAAAATAAAGCCTCACGTCGTTCTGATATATTCCTAGAGCTCACCGACTGCTTTGGTCCAGAAAATAGGCAGGGTCTGCCCTGTCCAAGCCCCCCTGGCCCCTGCTCCAAGTGAGGAGGGACTTTAAATGATAGTGATGTTTGTTCTGTGGCACAGTTAAAGCTCTTTAAATGTGCTGATAATGCTTGTCTTTCCACTTAAGTGATAAAATTGCAAACACAGCAACATGACATCATTGCTGCCATTAATTTATCATTACCTGGATTATGCAGTGTTTGTAAATGAAGAATAATCATCACTGTAATTCCATTCATTACACAGCCTCATGTGTGCTCATGTGCTGCTCCTCACATGTTTGCCGTTTCCAGGTGCGGCCCCATGACTCGGCCCCGTATTGCTCGGAGCTGCTCACAGATGGAGGCTGTGTGGCTCTTCTGGTGGTGGGTTTCCTCCTCATGACCCCCCTCCTGGTGCTGGCCCTGGCTGCATACTGTCGTCTGGCCCGGCACCTTCAGCTGGGACTCTGCTTCATCCCTTACAGCCGCGCCGTCTACAAGAACCTGCCCGCCACACACCACCGTGGCCTGGGCACATGTTGTGGGGACCACCAGGGGCCCCACGGGGCCAAGGCCAAAGTGTGGGTGTGACACATGAGAGGGCCACGAACATCTGAGAGAGTCACACAGCCAAAATGCATATCTACAAAATTTTGGCATATTCATTTGATGTGAAGATGATGACTGGAGTGGAACTATTTACAAGTTTAAAAACAATTATGCATTTTTTCCCCCATTCTGTTTGATATACATCAAGTTATCAATAATATTATGAATATTGTTTGATATCTGCTGAATCCTCTGGAATACTGTTTATAATAAAAGGAAAATGTGTAAAATGTTATAGTACTTTCAAATGAGTTGTGATTAATAAGATGTTATTTGAATGCAAGTCGGGGTAAATGTCGGGGTTCAGAGTCGACTGAAAGCATCAGTGTATCACATGTGGGCCATGTTTATGCACAGAGCCATGTGCTTTAAAAAATATATATATACATTATTAGATTAAAAAGTATTGGTATAGCCCTAATAGAAAATTGCCACATTATTTAATCCAATGAAAAAGCCATCTGATGACAGATACCAACAGTCTGCTTAAAAAGGACAAAAGAGTGAGAGCAGGCAGGCTTGTCTTATACCTCTGTCTAGGGCTGGGTGATATGGGAAAAAAAGAAATTACTCCTACTTGATGTAACTATAGTTCTATGAGTGTGTGAGAGCCCACCCCTGGTCCCAAAACCCATGAACAGCTGATCCAAAGCGCGAAAGGCTGCCATCCACTTGACACAACAGCGTAGCTCTCTGACAGGACAACAACCTCAGCCATGAATCCCTCTCAGACGCATCAGCGAGGGGAATGAGTGCTCTAAGATTACCCCAGATTGAAAAGCAGAGGTGATCATTTTAGGTCTGAAGGAAGGGTTGGGCCAGAGGTGAACCAAACATCCTCCTCAATGAATGACATGCAGGAGGGGTGAACTGAGAGCTCTTGGCAGAGGACAAGGCCAAAAAAAAGCACAATCTTGAAGGAAAGTTACAGCATTTTAGCCCATTCCAAGGGCTCAAAGGGGGTACCTGAAGAAATTGTTTAACCAGTAGATGACTACACGCTGAGTCCAAAACCATGATGAAAGTGCAAAATTAACCTTAGATTGTAGGACAATCAAGGCACACCAATGGACTTGAGTCCAGTCAATCAATGCATGTAATGGGAGGGATGGAAAATTGTTGTCATGCTCCACGACAGGTCAGTGAGCTGTCACTAGACCAAACCATATGCCAGGCTATGTGACATGACCCCCCAAAGTGTTGTCGCAGGGTGAATTATGGGAATCATACACAAACCGAGATGATTCATCTTTTTATGCAAAATTGGGGACACTGGACATTGAATTGTATTTAATATTTTGCATTACTTTCTTGTGTGTGTGTACTGCCTTCTGAAACTCTGCAAATGACTCAAAAGTCCTTCCAGACAGTGCCTTTGATGTAGACCTCTTTGAAATCTCACAGTACTGTGTCCCCAGAAAGCCTTGTCCTTGGCAGGACAGTTAGGTTTGGTGCAGCGGAGACTGTAGCGTCACACACCAACGAGTCTCCAGAAGAAGAGGTTGTGCTGGAAAAAGCTGTCTGCCAAGGGGACTGTGCCTCTCACAACAGACAACTCAGAGGGGGGTGAAACCGCATCTTGTCGTCCTTCAGGACCTTCCTTCACCTTGTTCTGCCAAACTTGTCCAGAAAGAACACCGGCTTCCAAAAGAGGTCCCTCTCTTAATCGTCCTTCAGTTACTTTACATCCCGCTCGGACAGCCCGGTTTGTTCAGCGCCTCAGAATTTATGCTGTCGTTCAAATGTAATTTTGTAACAAAAGATGAGGCTGAGGCTCACCCGTCACATCAGAGCTTTTTTGTAAATCCACTTACAGGAACTCTTTTGGATTGTGTCATGAGTTGCAGGAACAGAACTTAACAGTCACCATATGTTCCCATTTGACTCCATTGTATTTATTGTTGTTTTGATAAAAACATTTTTTAGATCCGATCCAATACCGATACTTGGCCTTAGGTATTTGCCGATACAGATACCAGCCCAACACCACATAGTGTGAAGTAGTAGACTAAGGCTACTCAATTTTGGAACAGTATAAGAGCAAAAAAAAATATCTCTACTAAAAGACTATTTCTAACAAAAATCTACAATAAGAGAAAGATTTTGAGGACTCAAGTATTATTCAGATGTTAAATGGTCTTGATGAGAAGTGCTGATTTAAAGCACTTATCTGGTCACTGTCTACCACAGAGGGTGGATAAAATAACAGTGAGGCCTGTAAAAAGACATGGAAAATTCTGCAGAAGAAACAAAGTCTGTGTTAGAGCTGTTATCGGGCTACACTTTTACTTGACTAAGATGAGTGTCCACACCAAAGGCTAAATGAAGATATCACAGAAGAAAGACAAATATCTTTCCTGTTATTATTAGAATGTTTTAAGCCTCCACAGGGACTCCACAGTCCGTCTTTAACCTGCTCTGAGTGTTAGCAATGGAATTAAGCCAGATGTCAACAGCAGCTGCTTGCAGGTCCTCATTCAGGAAAATACAGAGTGGTATCGGATCAGTGATTTGGTTTGAGTACTCGCCAGTATTTGAAAAATGTGCAGTATCGGAGGTTTTGCCAGTACCACTATCAGTATCAGAACAACCCTAATGATGATATTTACTTTATTTTTTCAATATTTTACCAGGTAAATCAATTGAGAACATTTGCAATGATGGCATGGTCGAGATGCAGCATGAAAACACATAAGTAGAATACAAATGTTCACACATCAGTCATAACATGAAACTGAATCGTGAAACATTTGCACATTAAAAATATAAAAGTGTTAAAGCATGTGCACTGATCTTGTAAAGTACTGGGATTTTTTTTGGTAGACAGAAGAGCTGAAGCTCTCTGTGTTCTTGTAGTAGATTGTAAAATCCCTCAGTCGTCCAGGTAGAATCCATGGCAAAGGAGAAATTCAATTTGTCAACTGGACAAATGTTTATTTTGGTAAAAACATTTCACAGCTCTGAACTGAAGAAGCAGCTTGGATGAGTTGCTTCAACCAAATAAACATTTGTCCAATTGACAAACTGAATTTCTCCTTTGACACTTCTTTTAGTCGAAGTAAATTCAACTGACTGGGAACAGACATCAGAGTACAAATAAATGGATTATGGACACAGTTAAATTTGAAAGAGAGATTGCAATTATATTTTAGAAGTCCCAAGAAATAATATTTAGAAAAAGATTAATAAACTACAGCACCATTGTTCTGCTTAAGAATCACTATGTCAACATATTTTTTTTTTTCCACCAAATTATCAGGGGAGAGCGCGAACGCAGTCCCCCACTACCAGAAATTATGCAGTCGAGATTCCCACATTTGGGGAATTCGCAGGGGTCAGCACAACCGGAGTGCAATGGCTGAGCCTCGCCCTGGGTGAACCACCTTCATGATCATGGTATCTCCCCTGCCAGGTAAGTATGAGTTGTACACGGACAAGCCTACAGGGACGTGCACAGACATGCCGTCCTCAGTGAGAACATATGACGTGTCTCTCTCTCACACACACACACCACACACACACACACACCACACACACACAGACACACAACAGACACACACAGACAGACACACACACACACAGACACACAGACACACACAATAACAAAAACAGTACAATACAGCCTCTGCTCTGTACGACTGTACAACACGAGCTCTCTCAATGTAGACATTATTTAGAAATTATTTTGAAAGGTGAGCAGCAGAGCATTACCCATGATGCTTTGCTAGTCCGTGTGCTGTTGCTAAGGCTACTTCCTGTTGGGGTTATCCGTGTGTTCAAAGTGTTTAAAAGTCACAGTTGCTTTCAGTTCTACATCAGAACAGACAATCCAAGTGTTCATAGTGAAGCGAGTGGAGAGAGCAGCTTCAGAAACAGCCTGAGGAGCACAAACTTGACTTTATTTATTCTGTAAGAGCAGACAAAGACAGGAAGTCCCTCCCCCAACTCTGTCCCCCTAGAAACACACACAGAAAGAAGACACTTCCCAAATGCTTAACTGCTAAACGAAGAGGGTATAAAAACACTGCATGTTTTACGGTATTTAAATATTAAAAGAAAAATGCATATTACTTTAAACTAAACCCCAGCGTCTTTAATTATTGACTTGTTTTACTCTGGCGCCCTCTGGTGGCTGAACAAACACTGGTGTGCTATGAAACTTTATTGGAGTTCACCACCTTTTTGCCTACATGAAAGAGATCATGCATTAAACTCACATATCTTGCATTTGCTCAATTATGGGTGATTAAATTTTTGTCATTTTTGTGTCCGTCCTTTGAAAATACCAGATTTTGTGCATTATTTCATGTTTTGTCCTTCAAACAACAATAAATCTGATGTTACATTTTGACAGCAAGGATACTCAGCAGCAGTTTTCTAAAATACTTCTGTAATTACTTAGACCACTACTTGTACTTCTATTTGTGTAGTATTATTTTGAAGTAACATTACTCTTATTTGACTACAATTTCTAGGTATTCTACCCACCTCTGCTAACACAAAATAAATAAGTTATAATAATTATATCTTATTGATTTATTTTTAAGTTTTGTCTAATTACTTTGTACAAATACAAACTAATAGGACAATAAATAGCTATTTATATTGACCAGAGTCTGCGTCAGAGCACATCTACTGGAGGGGCGTAGGTCACCAGCAGGGGGGGCACTGCCATTTGAGAAATATTTTAACGCGGTGGTGTCATACAGAGCAGAAATGCTATCAAACACGTTTTTATTTAACAGTATTAGGCTAATTATGTGTTGTTATTATTATCATTATTATATTAAAATTATTATTATTAGCTGCAATAGGGGTTGAGGTTGTGTGGTAGACGATACGCACACAAGACAAGAATAAAAGGTTGAGGTTTATTAAAAAACAATAAGGCCACTGGTTGTAAACATTAAACAACAGCCTCGTCAAAAACACCCCTGAACAACATCACTGAAAAGTACCCGGGCAAGAAATAGCCACGCATCGGTCAGCACCAGGGCTGTAGTGAGCGTGGTACACGAGGGTACACCGTCCAGTCCTGTCCTATAGAGACCTGAGACTTGAGGGACCGGGACTAAAACCAGGACTAAAACAGGACCAGTGGAGGTTGGTGGTATAATTTTTGGGAGGGGCACCAAGGCCAAAATGATAAATATATATTATGAATAATATATGCATTATATATAGGCTATAGTATTATAACAAATACAAGAAACAGACATTTTGGTTATTATTGGCTGAACAATATCGATCAGAGCACAATGAACAGTCAAGCGCAAACTTTACGCAACAACACACCGTAACACGCCGCTCACACCCAGACCCAACAACGTCAGCAAAACTACAATAAGAGGCTACGATCACAACATGAACACAGATGCCGCTCCTACAGCACACGGCAGAACAACCAGAGCAGCTCCATCGCACCCACGAGCTCATTTACGCACTATTTAACTGTAACACTATAACACTATAACACTATTTTACTATTAACACTATTTTACTATTTTACTATTAACACTATAACACTATTTACCTGTGAGGCTCCATGTTCAGATTTGCTGCAAACTAATGAAATCAAGCCTCTTACCTTCTCCAGAGACTGAAGCAGAGTGTTTCCTCTATCCACTGTCCTACTGGTTCTGTCTCCAAAAGTCTATTGTCCAATATGAAGAGATCAAACTGGTCCAAATCCCGGTCCAGTCAGGTCCGTGACGCGAGGTCCGGGAGCCGAGTGCACGAGTGGTTTCCCGGCCACGGCAGCGGTAGCGACAGCCCCGGGTCCCGGCGGCGGGTCTATCGGTGTGTCGCTCTTTGACTCTGTCCTCGCCATTTCCTGTGTGGAGCTTTAGGCTAAAGTAGCTAGCTGCCGCTAATCGTGAAGCTGCTCCAAGTTGACGCAGCAGGTTGACGTGAGTGACCGAACAGTTGTCCAATCACACTACACTAAATAAACAGAGAAAGTTTGTGCCCTCAGCCCGAAGTGAAATGGGCCAATCAAAATCATTTTAAAATAGTAATAATTACGGCTTGTGCTGGGGGTGGGGCACCAGTGGCCGCTGGGGGGGGCACGGCCCTCAAATGCCCCCCCTTGCCACCGACACCGATATTGACCAGTCCAATGAAGCAAGAAAGAAACGTTTGAGAAGTACTTGGAGCTCAGTTCTGACTTAAATAGGCCCATCTACAAATAGTGCTAGATTATGAAATAGGACCCAAGAAGTAGAACGCGGTCGCTAGACTGCCATTTTGAGTTTATATGGGTTGGTATCGACATGCATCACGCCTTTTAACACGAACTAGCGCGTTTTATCTTCACGTTTCACGACAAGAAATCTTAAATTACACCAAACCCGAACTTTGCATGTCCCATTTCAACAATTGCCGACATTTTCACCTTAAGTTGAATGTCTTTCAGTCCTTAACTCACCGAAAGTGAAGCGTCGTCCATGTTCTCACAAGCACGCGGCGTGGCCATGTGTGTCTTTGTCCCAGTCCTTTAACGTTGTTTTGGTCTTGTTGGAATTCCCTCGGTTCCTGCGACATAATAAACACATATCATTCTTGTGTGTAGTACAGCGTGTTATTTGGTTGCCATTTGATGGTTAAACAATCATGGAAAAATTAGCTTTTTTACAAAAATTGGTAGATTTGGGCTCACTTCAACGCCGTGACGCCGCCTAAGCAGAGAGTGAACGTGACCTGGACCTGAAACGCGAAAATGGCTCAGCCAACGTCATCCGATGGGCGTGGCATGAAAAAAATACAAACGCGTAAAAAGTAGACATTCATAACTTATACTTATGTACAGTTGTACTGGTAAATAAGACATTTTAAGAGTACATGCTAGGGGATGTGTGATTCTTCTTGCTAATGTGCTTGTTTGGAGCCTTTAAATTACAGCTGTAGCCTCTACAACAAGGGGACTGTGCCTCTCACAACAGACAACTCAGGGGGGTGAAACCGCATCTTGTCGTCCTTCAGGACCTTCCTTCACCTTGTTCTGCCAAACTTGTCCAGAAAGAACACCGGCTTCCAAAAGAGGTCCCTCTCTTAATCGTCCTTCAGTTACTTTACATCCCGCTCGGACAGCCCGGTTTGTTCAGCGCCTCAGAATTTATGCTGTTGTTCAAATGTAATTTTGTAACAAAAGATGAGGCTGAGGCTCACCCGTCACATCAGAACTTTTTTGTAAATCCACTTACAGGAACTCTTTTGGATTGTGTCATGAGTTGCAGGAACAGAACTTAACAGTCACCGTATGTTCCCATTTGACTCCATTGTATTTATTGTTGTTTTGATAAAAACATTTTTTAGATCCGATCCAATACCGATACTTGGCCTTAGGTATTTGCCGATACAGATACCAGCCCAACACCACATAGTGTGAAGTAGTAGACTAAGGCTACTCAATTTTGGAACAGTATAAGAGCAAAAAAAAATCTCTCTACTAAAAGACTATTTCTAACAAAAATCTACAATAAGAGAAAGATTTTGAGGACTCAAGTATTATTCAGATGTTAAATGGTCTTGATGATGAGAAGTGCTGATTTAAAGCACTTATCTGGTCACTGTCTACCACAGAGGGTGGATAAAATAACAGTGAGGCCTGTAAAAGACATGGAAAATTCTGCAGAAGAAACAAAGTCTGTGTTAGAGCTGTTATCGGGCTACACTTTTACTTGACTAAGATGAGTGTCCACACCAAAGGCTAAATGAAGATATCACAGAAGAAAGACAAATATCTTTCCTGTTATTATTAGAATGTTTTAAGCCTCCACAGAGACTCCACAGTCCGTCTTTAACCTGCTCTGAGTGTTAGCAATGGAATTAAGCCAGATGTCAACAGCAGCTGCTTGCAGGTCCTCATTCAGGAAAATACAGAGTGGTATCGGATCAGTGATTTGGTTTGAGTACTCGCCAGTATTTGAAAAATGTGCAGTATCGGAGGTTTTGCCAGTACCACTATCAGTATCAGAACAACCCTAATGATGATATTTACTTTATTTTTTTCAATATTTTACCAGGTAAATCAATTGAGAACATTTGCAATGATGGCATGGTCGAGATGCAGCATGAAAACACATAAGTAGAATACAAATGTTCACACATCAGTCATAACATGAAACTGAATCGTGAAACATTTGCACATTAAAAATATAAAAGTGTTAAAGCATGTGCACTGATCTTGTAAAGTACTGGGATTTTTTTCTGGTAGACAGAAGAGCTGAAGCTCTGTGTGTTCTTGTAGTAGATTGTAAAATCCCTCAGTCGTCCAGGTAGAATCCATGGCAAAGGAGAAATTCAATTTGTCAACTGGACAAATGTTTATTTTGGTAAAAACATTTCACAGCTCTGAACTGAAGAAGCAGCTTGGATGAGTTGCTTCAACCAAATAAACATTTGTCCAATTGACAAACTGAATTTCTCCTTTGACACTTCTTTTAGTCGAAGTAAATTCAACTGACTGGGAACAGACATCAGAGTACAAATAAATGGATTATGGACACAGTTAAATTTGAAAGAGAGATTGCAATTATATTTTAGAAGTCCCAAGAAATAATATTTAGAAAAAGATTAATAAACTACAGCACCATTGTTCTGCTTAAGAATCACTATGTCAACATATTTTTTTTTTTCCACCAAATTATCAGGGGAGAGCGCGAACGCAGTCCCCCACTACCAGAAATTATGCAGTCGAGATTCCCACATTTGGGGAATTCGCAGGGGTCAGCACAACCGGAGTGCAATGGCTGAGCCTCGCCCTGGGTGAACCACCTTCATGATCATGGTATCTCCCCTGCCAGGTAAGTATGAGTTGTACACGGACAAGCCTACAGGGACGTGCACAGACATGCCGTCCTCAGTGAGAACATATGACGTGTCTCTCTCTCACACACACACACCACACACACCACACACACACACACACACACAGACACAAACAGACACACACACACACAGACACACACACACACACAGACACACACAATAACAAAAACAGTACAATACAGCCTCTGCTCTGTACGACTGTACAACACGAGCTCTCTCAATGTAGACATTATTTAGAAATTATTTTGAAAGGTGAGCAGCAGAGCATTACCCATGATGCTTTGCTAGTCCGTGTGCTGTTGCTAAGGCTACTTCCTGTTGGGGTTATCCGTGTGTTCAAAGTGTTTAAAAGTCACAGTTGCTTTCAGTTCTACATCAGAACAGACAATCCAAGTGTTCATAGTGAAGCGAGTGGAGAGAGCAGCTTCAGAAACAGCCTGAGGAGCACAAACTTGACTTTATTTATTCTGTAAGAGCAGACAAAGACAGGAAGTCCCTCCCCCAACTCTGTCCCCCTAGAAACACACACAGAAAGAAGACACTTCCCAAATGCTTAACTGCTAAACGAAGAGGGTATAAAAACACTGCATGTTTTACGGTATTTAAATATTAAAAGAAAAATGCATATTACTTTAAACTAAACCCCAGCGTCTTTAATTATTGACTTGTTTTACTCTGGCGCCCTCTGGTGGCTGAACAAACACTGGTGTGCTATGAAACTTTATTGGAGTTCACCACCTTTTTGCCTACATGAAAAGATCATGCATTAAACTCACATATCTTGCATTTGCTCAATTATGGGTGATTAAATTTTTGTCATTTTTGTGTCTGTCCTTTGAAAATACCAGATTTTGTGCATTATTTCATGTTTTGTCCTTCAAACAACAATAAATCTGATGTTACATTTTGACAGCAAGGATACTCAGCAGCAGTTTTCTAAAATACTTCTGTAATTACTTAGACCACTACTTGTACTTCTATTTTGTGTAGTATTATTTTGAAGTAACATTACTCTTATTTGACTACAATTTCTAGGTATTCTACCCACCTCTGCTAACACAAAATAAATAAGTTATAAATAATTATATCTTATTGATTTATTTTTAAGTTTTGTCTAATTACTTTGTACAAATACAAACTAATGACAATAAATAGCTATTTATATTGACCAGAGTTGCGTCAGAGCACATCTACTGGAGGGGCGTAGGTCACCAGCAGGGGGGGGGCACTGCCATTTGAGAAATATTTTAACGCGGTGGTGTCATACAGAGCAGAAATGCTATCAAACACGTTTTTATTTAACAGTATTAGGCTAATTATGTGTTGTTATTATTATCATTATTATATTAAAATTATTATTATTAGCTGCAATAGGGGTTGAGGTTGTGTGGTAGACGATACGCACACAAGACAAGAATAAAAGGTTGAGGTTTATTAAAAAACAATAAGGCCACTGGTTGTAAACATTAAACAACAGCCTCGTCAAAAACACCCCTGAACAACATCACTGAAAAGTACCCGGGCAAGAAATAGCCACGCATCGGTCAGCACCAGGGCTAGTGAGCGTGGTACACGAGGGTACACCGTCCAGTCCTGTCCTATAGAGACCTGAGACTTGAGGGACCGGGACTAAACCAGGACTAAAACAGGACCAGTGGAGGTTGGTGGTATAATTTTTGGGAGGGGCACCAAGGCCAAAATGATAAATATATATTATGAATAATATATGCATTATATATAGGCTATAGTATTATAACAAATACAAGAAACAGACATTTTGGTTATTATTGGCTGAACAATATCGATCAGAGCACAATGAACAGTCAAGCGCAAACATGCATTAAACTCACATATCTTGCATTTGCTCAATTATGGGTGATTAAATTTTTGTCATTTTTGTGTCTGTCCTTTGAAAATACCAGATTTTGTGCATTATTTCATGTTTTGTCCTTCAAACAACGTTAAATCTGATGTTACATTTTGACAGCAAGGATACTCAGCAGCAGTTTTCTAAAATACTTCTGTAATTACTTAGACCACTACTTGTACTTCTATTTGTGTAGTATTATTTTGAAGTAACATTACTCTTATTTGACTACAATTTCTGGGTATTCTACCCACCTCTGCTAACACAAAATAAATAAGTTATAAATAATTATATCTTATTGATTTATTTTTAAGTTTTGTCTAATTACTTTGTACAAATACAAACTAATAGGACAATAAATAGCTATTTATATTGACCAGAGTCTGCGTCAGAGCACATCTACTGGAGGGGCGTAGGTCACCAGCAGGGGGGGCACTGCCATTTGAGAAATATTGGGGGGGCACTGCCATTTGAGAAATATTTTAACGCGGTGGTGTCATACAGAGCAGAAATGCTATCAAACACGTTTTTATTTAACAGTATTAGGCTAATTATGTGTTGTTGTTATTATTAGTTGACGCAGCAGGTTGACGTGAGTGACCGAACAGTTGTCCAATCACACTACACTAAATAAACAGAGAAAGTTTGTGCCCTCAGCCCGAAGTGAAATGGGCCAATCAAAATCATTTTAAAATAGTAATAATTACGGCTTGTGCTGGGAGTGGGGCACCAGTGGCCGCTGGGGGGGCACGGCCCTCAAATGCCCCCCCTTGCCACCGACACCGATATTGACCAGTCCAATGAAGCAAGAAAGAAACGTTTGAGAAGTACTTGGAGCTCAGTTCTGACTTAAATAGGCCCATCTACAAATAGTGCAAGATTATGAAATAGGACGCAAGAAGTATAACGCGGTCGCTAGACTGCCATTTTGAGTTTATATGGGTTGGTATCGACATGCATCACGCCTTTTAACACGAACTAGCTTCGCGTTTCACGACAAGAAAACTTAAATTACACCAAACCCGAACTTTGCATGTCCCATTTCAACAACTGCCGACATTTTCACCTTAAGTTGAATGTCTTTCAGTCCTTAACTCACCGAAAGTGAAGCGTCGTCCATGTTCTCACAAGCACGCGGCGTGGCCACGTGTGTCCTTGTCCCAGTCCTTTAACGTTGTTTTGGTCTTGTTGGAATTCCCACGGTTCCTGCGACGTAATAAACACATATCATTCTTGTGTGTAGTACAGCGTGTTATTTGGTTGTCATTTGATGGTTAAACAATCATGGACAAATGCGCTTTTTTACAAAAATTAGTAGACTTGGACTCACCTCAACACCGTGACGCCGCCTAAGCAGAGAGTGAACGTGACCTGGACCTGAAACGCGAAAATGGCTCAGCCAACGTCATCGATGGGCGTCGCATGAAAAAAATACAAACGCGTAAAAAGTAGACATTCATAACTTATACTTATGTACAGTTGTACTGGTAAATAAGACATTTTAAGAGTACATGCTAGGGGATGTTGTGTGATTCTTCTTGCTAATGTGCTTGTTTTGGAGCCTTTAAATTACAGCTGTAGCCTTTACAACAAGTACAGGAAATAAATGAAAACTTTCCATAATTCAGAAAGAAATTTAATACTGAATGTTATAGACTCAACTCAAACACATTATTTTTTTATAGACGTCTTTGATCATATCTTATTCAAGGCATTGTACCAAATTTTACTCATGTATTTCAGCAAGATTAGTTTTATCCCAGTAGAGATGTGTTGTATATTGTATATAAGCAGCTCTTTTTATTGTCCAATGAACAGAAAGTGCATGTTAGCATGCTAGTTGATGCTACCGTTACCGTTACAACAAAGGAAAAACTCCGTTCTGGTTACTGAAGATTGTGAAAAACCCATCACATTAATTTTGGAAAAAAAATGATGATTAGTTTGGCTTTGTAGCCTATTTATATTCCCAGATTACTCATTGTTATGAACTTTCTTTTGGTCGGGTGGGGTCCACACACTTGGCTCTTCCAGGGGCATCCCAGACACTGGCTTGATATAGCATTCTCGAATTGTCAGGCAAATACTTTACAGCAATACCAGTCAATTATAATATCTATCAGATATATTTGTCTAACTCATGTTTTGTAAGCAGGAAGTATCATGGCACAACTTATTCGTAAAATATCTTTATTCATTGAATATTTAAAACTACACAGAGGCTCATGGAGTTTGAGATTGAAACATAGATGAGGTAGCAAGTAGTACAAGGGACTCTGTTAAAATAAAACATTTAGAATTATAATTAATAATAGAGATAATAGAGAAAATAACAGGCAAATCCATATTTTTACACAATTAAGTGTTAAAATAATAATGATAAAGAGCATATTTTTGACCACTTTTACAACCCAAGTTGTAAACCAAGAGTAAAACACCACAAAACTATTATGTAAACCATAGTTCTTTAAAATGGCAAAAATTAAAAATGAACTTTAGCGTGTGCAATAGCCACTTGCATTGTCATTCTGATTTAAAATGTTTAAAACTGTTTTGTCCTTTGCTCTTCTCTTACCTATATGGTTGCCTTAAATATCTTGTATGTTCTCTTATATTAATATTTCATGCATTTTCTTTTATAATTTGTATTATTTGCATTATTAATTAGTCATTCAGTAGGTTACTTTGTGAACTCTTAAAGGAGATCCGACAAAATATTAGAAAACTGAATAAATAATTTCTTCCTATAATGTCCTTTCGTGGCCATTTCTAACATTTAAAGGTAACACCATTTAAATAAAGTAATATCCACTGGCTTTATGCATAAAATCCATGGAAGAAGACGGCGACACAAAGCAGGATGAGAGCGTTGGCATTGACCACGTTTCTCCACAGTGGAACTTCGGAGGTGTCTGTGAGTTTCCTCTTCATCTCCTCCTCTTCCTCTGGGGTCAGTTTGACAGTGTCCTTCTGCTGTTCCAGGCCGCAGAAACACAATATGGCCTTCTTGCACAAACCAGGCTTTTCCTTTTCTGTCAAAAGTAAAAACGTAAAAAAATTATTATTATTATTGTCCTCTGCTAACCCTTTAGGCCCAACATATACAGACATATTTCTTAATGTGCGGGAATCTTGTATTAGTTTAGCAGTTTTTAGACTTCCCTCAAATGCTAATGCTCCAGGACAGGTATTAAATTCTATACACAGTTCACAATCATCATGTTTGTCAGAAAAGTCAAAATATACTTTACTTTTAGAGTTAGATTGTGAATTCAAGAGTTGCCGATAATACAGGGCAATATTTCTGACTTACAGATATAGTTATTGTTGATCAAGTAGCCAAAATGCAACCACTTTATAATTTCTCAAAGAGTGAAATGTGTAAGGTACTCAAGAGAAGTACAACACAGTCAAAAAGTTACGCTGCTAAGTAACAAATTCTTTCCCACATGAAAATATTTCTGTGAATTACAATTTTAAGTCTTGAATCCAGATACAGAAATATAAGCTATGTCTGTATTTATGGTTAACTAAATTACTGTCAACACTTATTACACAGATCAAAAGTCAATGCTAATTCAAATCCGATAAGACCGGTTACATCAGAGGCTTATGAGTAGATATAAAGTCAAACGTTTAATTTGCATCAGCGGTATATTCTGTCTTCCAACAGCAATAAAACTGTTCACTGCACAGCACAAAAAACAAATGCACTTCTTAACAAGTACTTAAGTGAAGAATGCATGTTTGGGCTAAACAGAAAGCCGCTGATAACTTACCATGTTCCTTCTCATCTATTTCCATTATCTTGTCATTTTGATTGTCAATCCAGTCATCCACTTCAATGTCAATCCTCTCCTCTGTGTTGTTCCGCAGAGTCCAGCATAGACGATACAACTGGGCCGTACAAAACGCAACACAACATCAATTTTAATTTGTTTTTGACAGCATTTTAAAATGAATATCTGGTTATGTTTGGTCACGTACGTGCTTGTCATCGATGGGTTTGGTCATGAGGGAGATTCCCAGAATGATGATACAAGATATTGTGAACAAAATGATGCTAAAGTACAGATAGTGGACCCCGCAGATGATGGTGGGGCAGTTACTAGGGTTTACACAGCTGCCAGTCCCGTAGACAAACTCTGGAATCATTCGGCACAGTCCAATGACCAGGCCGATCATCAGACCATAGAATGCACCCTGAAAGAGAAAAATACACACATGTAAAACTAGTGCACCACTTTCATAGCACCATAACAACATTATAGCACTATAAAAAAAGGTTCTAAGTTCTAAAACATAAAATACAAATAGGTGACAAGGTGGCGAAAAGCATTTTTAGGAGACAATGAACACGTAATTGAGCATAATAATAAAGTATTTATTACTGAATTGCTAAATATATAAGCCTGCATTTAACATATTGAATGTACCAACTATTTTGTTAGTCAAGACTGGCATGATTTCAAAGTATTACATAATAAATTGCTGAGATACTGTTACTGATTTGCTTTCTACGGATTGAGTGAGAGATAAGGTTAGTAAATCTGTTACTTACAGTCTCATTAACACGTTTGCAGAAGATGGCCAGCATGAAGACGGCTACCACTGGAGGAGTCAGGTAGCTGGTGATAGACTGAACGTAGTCAAAGAGCTGGCCACTCTGAGCATTCTGCACCACTGGGATCCAGGCAATACTCACACCAATCAGAGCCAAGATGAAAATTCTGCAGACAGCACATATGTTTAATTTTCAAAAATAAGTTTCAGTTGAGGTCTTTGCTTTATTTATTATCACAGACTCCAGAGCTACCTGCCAGCAATCATGAGCTCCCTCTCACTGGCAGAGCGGCGTATCTTGGTGTAGATGTCCATGGTAAAGAGAGTACTAGCACTGTTGAAGATGGAGGTGAGTGAGCTCATGAGGGAGGCCAGCATAACAGACAACATCAGACCACGCAAACCTGCAAGATACAGATTCAAATGAGAAAAATATAGTACTTTTAATTTTATCAGTAGTCAGTGTCTTCACACATTTGTCCATGCAGGAGAGGTTCATAGTGTTTTTTTTTTAAACAAGACATAATTGTTTCCTGTCAAATACAGAGAAGGTCAACATGTCCAAAGTATGCTTCAGGGTAAAATCATACAGTCTATAAGTGAAAGTTGTCCCTTAGTGCAGAACTGATTTAGTGCCCCTGTAGGTCCTCAGACAAGACCAAACCAGACTAACAATGGCTTATGGATGACAACTGAAACATCTTGATTTCACTTTATGTAAATATATGTAACACAACTCACCATTAGGCATCAGATCCACCACTAGTTTAGGATATGCAAAGTTGGTGCAGCCCACCTCGGTCCCACAAAATCTTTCACATTCTGCTGGTTCAACACATGCAACTTCATCTGAAACAACATACATTTAGTCGTTATTTTTTTTATTATAAAAACAATTATTGTAATGGCATAATACAGACAAAGCACAGAGCTTGTACCTGGATAAAGGATCCTGCTAATCATGCCAGGGAATACCATGAGAAACATGGGCAGCAGCTTCAGATAACCACACAGGATACAGCCTGCTTTAACATGGGACAAGCTTTTGGCAGAAAGGCAACGCTGCACAATAACCTGCACACATACTGGATTATTAGTATTAGAATTTGATACAGATATGGACATGTCGGTCATTTACAACTATCTGTAAGTGGGTCCAAATCTTATCCTGTTCCCCAGCAGACCATTATGGTTTAAGTGAATGGCTGCTCTCTGCACTGGTAATCAGCACTCAATGTGCAGTGTTTTCAGCATAAAAGCATCACCAAATTAACTGGATCAGCTGCCAATCATTTACTTACATGTGCTGCTCTAATGTTAACATACTAACCTGATCTGTGCAAAAATACCAGGTGGCCTGAATGGTGAGTCCAAACACCAGGCCAGGCCAAGGCAGGTCACCTGTGATCGCATCTCTGAAAAGGTGGAAGGAATCTGCGCGAGGCTTATAGCACTCCTCGCTGATGTTACCGGTGATGGAAGGTACTGCTGTCATGTAGCGCTGCTGGAACTGCTCATAGCCTCCCACCTCATTAAAGGCTTGAACAAGATCAAATAAGACCTTTGTAGATAAAAGAGCGTTCTTTAGGAACCAGAAAGTTCCGGATTAAAATGGCATTTTACCAAATCCCATGAGGACGAATGATCCAGCAAGCATGATGATGGTCTGCAAAGTGTCTGTGTAGATCACAGCTGCTAACCCACCTAAAATACAACAAACACAACACAACTATGTTAAGAAAACATTCATAACTCTTTCTGTTTCTACTTTTTATGCAGCTGCAACATGCCAAATGTGTTTAAAGTGTTGTTCAG